TTATTATCTTGTATTGTGTTTGTGATATTCGAATTGAACATCTATCTAGATAAATAAAAATTAATGATTTGCTTGTACTATTGTTTTTTTTTGGCGTGATATAATCCTATAAATCAATGAACACTGCATGCACGAAAAAGTGTCACGTTCCGCCTGAGCCAGAGCTTCCAAGCGAGAGCGCGGAACAAGCGATCGAGAGGCACGATCGACCCAAGCGTTGACTTGTGACATTTATGTCTCTTCTCGCGTGACGTCAGAGCTAACGTTTCGAATGGTGCTGTTACTGACGTTATCACGTAAATCTATCGTTCGTAAACAGACTTCACAGACTAAGAAAATACGGTCAGTTTGGATACCACAACTACATTTGGATGGTGTAGCAGTAATATGAGTAACTAAATAACACGGTTTTTTTTATTACCCTTGTAGGCAGACGAGCATACGGCCCACTTGATGGTGAGTGGTTACCGTCGCCCATGGACTTAAGCAATACCAGAGACAGAGCCAAGTCGCTGCTTACCGCTTAATACTCTCCATAAGCCTCGTTTGAAGAAGGACATGTCATAGCGCTCGGGAAACACCGTGGAGAGGAGCTCATTCCATAGCTGGACGGTGCGTGGCAAAAAAGACCTCTGGAAACGCACTGTGGATGAACGCAGCGGTTCCAAATATCTAATGTGGATGAACTCTGCTCCGATGGCGGGAGGTGCGATGGTAAAAAACTGATGAGGGGATCATCTCAAACAATTCCTCAGAGCACTCCCCATGGAACATACGGTACAAAATACAGAGGGAACCGAAGTCGCTATGGGCCCCTAAATTTTTTAGACAGCTCTAATGAAACTTAATAGTCAATGTTTGGCACTCGAAGGAAGGCTTATGTGCAACAGGTGATGCAATACTAGTTTCAAGAAATCAACCGTTGATACAATGAAGGATAGACAGCTTTCACTAGTCTTACAATTGAATTATAATTCAATACTAGTGGTCCCGCAATAGTCGAAATTCGACTATAATTAATTGAAATTACTCGTATAAGTTTGAACATTATTATGGTTCTATTGTCAAATACTTATTATACTACTATAATCACAGATTTCGCCAAGACTACACTATACACAAATAATATTAAAGATAAACAATATTAACCTATTCAGAATTTGACCACAGACTTTAAGCAATAACAAAAGTTTGACAATAAACTATATAGAGTATATACATATTTTATATGTGTGTGTGTGTGTGTGTCAAATAGATGATAGTGTGTGAAATGTTTTTTTTATTGATTTAATGTATTATGAATGCATAATTTAGAAGAAAAATTTGCATTCTGCACTCCTTCTCTATATTCTATACTAGCGAACCGCCCTCGCTTCGCTTCGGAAACATTAAAACACAAATGAAACCAAAAAAAATAAAAAAATAAAAAAAAAAGTAGCCTATGTTCATCAGGGACAATGTCGGCTTCTAATGGAAAAAGAATTTTTCAAATCGATCCAGTAGTTTCGGAGCCTATTCGAAACAAACAAACAAACAAATCTTTCCTCTTTATAATTATTCTATATAAGTGTGGGAAATTTCATATTTCTCCGTCCGCGCAATTTTCGTAAAAAGGGGTACAAAGTTTTTGCTTCTCGTATTAATATATAGATAATTTTCAAAAGTGTAGAAAATGTACTAAGAAATTTGTTCCTATTTAAATATTGAGTTGAGCATTAAAGAAATAATTTTAAATCAAATAGAACTCGAGTATCTAATTAATCACTTCATATTAAATTAACATTAACGAGAAAATTACTTTAACTTGAACACAGGAAAGACTGAACAAATAACAAATTATAATAAGTATATTATAAATAAAGTAAAATACCATTTCCATTTTAACTATAAAATAATTACGATTAATATTGAAATTCACTAAAGTGGATGGAAGTTAAGCACGTGGTTAAAACCATGCGCTTAACTTTAGCGAGAAATTAAAATATTAATGTTTGGGCGATCAAAGCGAAGCTTTTCGTGCAATTAAATTGAAATATTTCTGTGGTACGATATATTATATCAATACAACTCATTTGCAATTTTATGAAGATATTTTTTTTTTATTGCCCTTGTAGGCAGACGTGCGTACGGCCCATCTGATGGTGAGTGGTTACCGTCGCCCATGGACTTCAGCAATGCCAGGGACAGAGCCAAGCCGCTGCCTACCAGAGGGAAGGAATATATTTCAGATGCGAATAAGCGAAATAATGTTTGTAAGCTACACAAATAGGGTACACAAAGACATTTTCTAGACTAAGCTACCTTAATTACCTTAATTGCCGGATATTTCGACACTTTTTTTTTATTGCTTAGATGGGTGGACGAGCTCACAGCCCACCTGGTGCTAAGTGGTTAATGGAGCCCATGGACATCTACAACGTAAATGCGCCACCCACCTTGAGATACAAGTTCTAAGATCGCAGTACAGTTACAACGCCCGCCCCACCCCTCAAACCGAAACGCATTACTGCTTCACGGCAGAAATAGGCGGGGCGGTGGTACCTACCCGCGCGGACTCACCAGAGGTCCTACCACCAGTAAAAACTTTAATTACCTTTCGTCCCAAGATCTTTTACCAATACTTTTAATCATCTAAATTGCTTTGCGATAGTTCTGACGAATGGATGCCCATTGTTATCCTTGTTTAAGACGTCACACTTCCATAAAGGACCCCCAGTAAATCAAGTTTTTTTTAAATTGATTAGACGGGTAGACGAGCTCACGGCTCACCTGGTGTTAGGTGGTTACCGGAGCCCATAGACACGTACAACGTAAATGCCGTCACCCACCTTGAGACATGAGCTCTAAAGTCTCAGTATAGTTACAACGGCTGCCCCACCCTTCAAACCGGAATGCATTACTGCTTCACGGCAGAAATAGGCAGGGCGGTGGTGCCTACCCGTGCGGACTCACAAGAGGTCCTACCACCAGTACTACCAGTACTGTTACTATGTATAATGAAGCTTTTTTTTCATAGCCCTTGTAGACAACGAACATACGGCCCACACGATCTTGAGTGGTTGCCGTCGGTCATAGACGTCAGAAATGTCAGGTGCAGAGCCAAGCCGCTGCCTACCGTAAAAAGCCTGCAGCATGTGGTCACGTATACCACATCCACCGCACTAATTTCGCTCACTACAACGCTGCTACGAATACCCTGTGCAAAGTAATTTTCGTTATTTGAACATACAAGTAGAAAGGAATTCATAAAATGCGCGACATTATTCTTTGTTTTTTTTTTATTGCTTTTATGAGTGGACGAGCTCAAAGCCCACCTGGTTTTAAGTGGATGCTGGAGCCCATATCTAGAACGTAAATGCGCCACCCTCCTTGAGATATAAGTTCTAAGGTCTCAGTATAGTTACAACGGCTGCTCCACCTTTCGAACCGAAACGCATTACTGCTTCACAGCATAAATAGGCAGGGTGGTGGTACCTACCCGTGCGGACTCACAAGAGGTCCTTTGTAATTAAAAGTGCGTTTTATTTGGTATCAGAATCAACAGTTCGATGTTTTTAATTGAACTTCAATTAAGTTTACTCCAATGAAATAGCTGAAGAAGTTTTTTTTGTTACGATATTTTTTTCCAAAATTTAAATTACTTTAAGTGGCTCGTCTGTAAAATGGCAAAAATGTCGCTTAAAAGAAATAGCCTTTCCCCCTCGATATTCATTTTCTCTACAACATTGCTCGCCTCTTCTTCCATAAAAAAATGTTTACGCCAGTAACTTCTAAGGGGGGTATGATAGTATAATAATATATTTAAATAAATATTTACTAACAATCACGCCACGTTAACTGGTCCCGTGTTAAGTTCGTAAAGAACTTGTGTTACAGGTACCAGATAACGGAAATAAATGTAACATTTTTATTATACACATACATATATTTAATATACATCCATAACCCTGGAAAAGAAATTTATATTTATCATACAAATATCTTTACTTGGCGGGATTCGAACCCGCGACCCCCTTGTGTAGTGACCATGTCACTTACCACTACACCAGACGGCCGTTTATATTGATAAAGATATTTTTTTTAATAAGCACAACACTATCTCGTTGGTAAACTAATTGATTCGATGTTCGGGGCACTGTTTTGATTGCGGATTTCAATCAACCATTCCATTCTGAAGCATAATAAATCAACTCCACTGAAACTGAATGAATACACAAATACCTCGATTACTATTCGAATGATAAACAATTTTACCGGGTACAGGTAACCCGTAACTATAACACGGTAGTTTACAACGCGGTTCCACTATAACGCGTAAACAAAATTTCCCCAAAACCCTCTTATAACGCGGTACTTCTTCTACAATATGATAACGAGATTTTTGTTTAAAATTATTTAGAACATTATGCACTATGAACACACACAATAATATAATAAACGAAATTTTACTGCGTATTTCTATGTACCAGTGGTCCCCGGGTAGTCGAAATTCGAATTTATTTAATTGAAATTATAAGTTTGTAAACTATTATGATTCTATTGTCAAAGACTAATAAAATTCTAGTATAACAGATTTCGCCAAGACTACATATTTGGCAAATATTAATAAAGACAAACAATATTTAATCTATTCTCAATTTGACCACAGACTATAAGCAATAAGAAAAGTTTGACAATAAACAAATAGTATGCATGCGTGCTGTGTGTGTGTGTCAAATACATGGTAGTGTGTGTAATATATTTTTTTTAAATTGATTTATTGACATTGTGTACTCCTGCTCTATATTCTCTTTAAGTGTGGGAAATTTCGTAATCGTGTACACGATGCGATGGTAAAAGGTTCAAGCCGTTGACCTGTTTTTAGAAATTCTGTTTGCCATACAAACACGTTATGGCTGAAAGCCTTTGTACAGAAACTCCTGGGTAAATTGTCGATTTAAAAAAAAAACTTCTCAAAACATCCTCACATAAAAATATATGAATTAAACCCTTTTGTACAGGTGAACCAGCAATTAGGTCACGATACGCCCGCCTCACCGTGCTAGTTCCGCCGGAACCACCGAAAATACTGCAAGGGAATTTCTACTCAACCACTGAAGACAGAAATATCAAATTGGAATGCGTGTCGGTCGGCGGAAAGCCGCCCGCTGAGGTAAGAATTGATTTTTGAATCGTATCTCTCACAGTTCTCCTATCAATCGTTCCAAGTAACTAATGTAATTATTAACTGATAATTCTATTGTTATGTTTTTTTTTTTAAATCTTGTTAATACTTTTCTGCATCAATGCATTACCATTTGACTGAGCGCATAATATCTAAAATTTCAAGTCTCTAGCTCACGGGGAAGCTAGTTCAAAATCAATTACAAATTTCCACCCTATGATACAAGAGAAACGCTCAATACAATAAAAATGTATAAAATACACCCTTATCTTCTTCTGACATACAAAGTATAGTTTGTGAGATATTCCATATGCAAGAGAATATTTCGGAAACAAACATTCAGGTACTTCTAATTTTGCTAAATCAGTACTGGTATATTCTGGATTAAAAACAGCAATAGAAATGTATCTGTGGTATAAAGGTACAAGTATGTACTGATCTATACGAGATTATATATCTAATTTTGATATATCTGGATCCAAATGATTGTATTTTTTTTGTATTGCATGTTGATTTGAGTGATGTCTATGGGCTACAGTAACCTCGTAGCACTATGAGAACCGAAAGCTCGACTGAACGTTTAGAGCAAGAATATTTTCCTCATCGGTATCTTCTAGAACGTTCCTAACAGCTGGAACATTATACCCCTGTCGTCTCTGATATCTAAAGTAACTAACTGCCACAAACTAAAGATAACTAACTATCATCAGCGTCTGGCAATCAGTAAGTGAGAAAATTCAACATCAATAATTATCATCTTAGAAATTTGAATAGGTTAAAAACATGGCCTACAACATTTTCCTTATTGTCATCCATTTTGAAGGCTGTTATAACGGTAATTAATCAATGTCGTTGCTTTAATAGAATCCAGCGGTGAATGGGGCGTGACCTACAAACGCTTCTATTCAATGTTTTTTTTTTCACGATTTTTTCCCAAATTCATGTCCTTAATTCCCCACCTTGAAATCTCTTGAAGTTTTAAGGCTGTTTAATGAATGAGAATGACGTGGTTCTTCTTGACTGCTTACAACAAAACGTGCTTCTCAATATTCTATTTTAATCACAGGATATAAAATTCAATTCTGGTCGTATAACTTAACGACTTAATTCTTTCTCATTTCACTTTATAGTTTTATAGACTACACTTGCTCAATGTTTTTATTAAAAAAAATAAAAAAAACTTTAAACCAAATTTCCAAATATAGATTCCTAAATTAGATAAATAACGCGCAACGTAAAGCAAATAGAAAATCGCTTTTGCTTTTCAATGCGGAGTCAAAGATATAAAATGACAACAATGCTAAGTAAATGTGTATCCATTTTATATAATACTAACTGGCCCAGCAAACGTTGTTTAGCCATTTAAATTATTTGTAGGAAAAATCAACAACCTAGACACCGACTGTAGTGCCATATAACTGGCTGATTTGTAAATCTAAACCATTCTCGAATCCACCTGAAGGTACACAGAAAGTTTCATTAATATCGGTCCAGCCGTTTAGGAGGAGTTCAGTGACAAACACACGCACAGAAGAAATATATATATAAAGATTTTAATTGACATTGATGGGTAGACTAGCTCATAACTTACCTATGTCACGTTTATAAAAGCCCGTCCCATCTATCAAGGGGATGGACGCACTCACGCTGTAACCCTTATGAGTTCTAGTGACTGTTTAACACTAGACGGACCCTGAACTCGTACACTAATATGAAATAACCGAATAAAAATCAAGAGGTAGGATCATACTGATGTTGCGACCAGTCTGGTAAACATTTCATTTTCTCTATCTGAAACTTTTTGATGTGACAACGTCTTATAAGTCGATGGAGCCGGCTGCACGCACGAAAAAACATGACTCATTGAGGCGTTCCATTTAAGGCTTGAAGTGCAAGCGAGAGCGCGCAACGAGCGACAAAGAGCCACAATCGGCCTCCGCGTTCGGCAGCGTTCGACATTTGTCTCTCTCCTACTTGAGTGAGCGACGCATCCGCGTGGACAGCTGCTATACAATAATACATTTACATGTTTTCGTCAAGTATGAAGTTCAGTGAAAAGTGAATGTGGTGTCAATTGTCCATAAAAAATATCTATCAAACAAATAAAATTAAAATTTTCTTTCGAAAAATGAAACCATTCCATCAGTATTTTCTTATGACGTTGTCACGTTCAACTATCGTCAGTAAACCGACTTTACAGACAACCGATTTTTTTGCTCTGGCATTGCGGTTCATGGGTAACATTGGCCATTTCCCATCCAAAGAGTCGTATACTTGCTTAGAACAGTATAAAAGTCACTAGATTAAAGCAAACATTCTCCATCCCGAACCCCAAATTACACAACAAACTTACAAATATAAATTCTCCCTCGCACAATTCAATTAAGTCCTCGTTCACAATATCTTACGTTATCACTGTTTGCATTATAACGCGTTATTACGAAGAGAGTACACAGCCAAAGTGGATTACGAAATCGATACAAAATCCACTTTAATTTGTGTAATAGCTTCATTTCCATTTACATAATTATTCCGTTGTAGTATACGTGGTTCGTCAAATCTAATTAAAATTATTACGTATTAGTATAGCTCACACATCCTTGTCATATTTTCATGTAATTGCGTAGTGATATTCATTATTCAGTAGGTTTATTTGTGTCTCAATACAATAACTAATTAGTGGGTAGGTAATAAATGTATGATTTTTATGGTAATTCTTAATTTAATTGTGTAGTGAGTTATGAATAGTTAATAGAATAGTTAAGCTAAGTATATATACGCTTTGAATAATTCTAGAAATGGTTAAAGTCTATTAGAAATTAAGGGTTTTGACTTAATCTGTGGCGCTGCACTACTGAAGCCTGTGGATTCGATTCCCACGTCAAGCAACCGTTCGTGTGATGAATAAGTTTGTTTTCTCTTTATATAAGATAAAGATATCTACACTAGCGGTTCCATGGTAGTCGAACTTCGACTATATTTAATTGATTTTATAAGTTTGTAAATTATTAGGGAGCATTGTCAAACACTAATATACTTCTATAATCACAGATTTCACCAAAACTGAACTATAGACCAATAATATTTAAGACAAACAATATTATTCTATTCTCAAACAAAGAGTGTGTGTTGACTGACACATTGACTGTTGATGTGTGATACAACAATATATTGTGTTGTGTAAAATACATGGTAGTGTGTGTAATGTTTTCTTTATTGATTTAATGTATTTTTTATGAATAATTTAAAAAAATATTAACATTTTGCTTTTTTTCCTTCTCTATATTCTCTGGAAGTGTGGGGAATTTCATATTCCTCCGTCCGCGCAATTTTCGTAAAAAGGGGTACAAAGTTTGTGCTTCACGTATTAATATATAGATATATATGTTTTCTCTGTAGGGCTGGACCGATTAGGCTAATTTTGGTCTCGAGTTATTTGTGGAAGTCCAGAGAAGGTTTAAAAGGTAGATAAATATGAAAATGCTCAGAATTAAATAAAATAACAATTTTGTTTTTCCTTTAATGTGTCCCTCGTCGGACGGATTCCTTTTGTTTGTTTTAAGTTTAGTTTATACAAAAGTTTAGGTCTTTTATTTATCGATTGAGGCACTACGAAGTTTGCCGGGTCAACTAATTAAAAATAAAATGCTTCTTAGTAGCCGTTTCTTAAATACTCGATCTCTCCACGTCTTATTCTTGCCCGTATACCAGTTCTTTTTCCATTCAGGCCTGATATACGACCTCTCTGCACTCAGTCTCGTCTCTCACACGGTCTATCCAAGTTTTTAGGACGCCTCCTCATCACATTACCGTCTACTTACGGTACTAATCTGCTTATGTGTAATCCAGCAATTATTTGGATAGCCGCCTGATGCCTGTTTGGAAAGCACTCCGAAAGAACTGGAATTTGTATAACATCAAACTTAGTATGAAATTCGACAGATGAATTCTATCAAGTAATTTGCTTACGTTGTCTAACATCGCTTTTGGATAAGAAACATGCGCCCAATACACGCAATCAAGAGCCAAATTGAAAGTGATGATGCGACCAAATCGCACGAAGCATAAACTCAGCTTAATATGGCTTAAGAAAATCAAGTGATTCGGTTTGATTAGACGGGCATCCTCCTATTTCAAGATTAGCTGTGGTGCTAAAACTCTGTATTCTAATTTCTGCCGTAAATAAATTGCGTTATGTTGTTTAATAGAATGCACTTGACATCATTACTTAAAAGATACGCTCCAGGACCCTTTTTTTTTTTTTTCGGGTAGAGGGCCGAACCTCCTACGAGGTCCCCGCGCAAAAGGGGCGCGCGGGGTATGTGAGACTCAACGGTCTGCATGGTGTTGTGAGCAGACTGCGGGCCCAAGGATTTTAGGACCCACCCACTAAACGACTCCTCTGCACTCTTACACCCGACGTCCGATCCCCTCCGAGGTCAGAACCCGGATGAGGTAGGGGGGCTACCGCGGTCAACACTACAACCAGACGGCGCGGCTCACCCCAAGGACGCACAGCCGACGGAGCCTTCGAGGCAAATCGAAGGCTCTGAAACGTCGGCCGTCTCGGTACGGCAGCCCGTAGACTATAGCTTTTTTTCATCTTGTTCATGTTGCGGCTCGTCATTGTTAATGTCATGTACCAAAATAATTCTGTTTTAACTAATCGACAGTTAAGGAACAAACAATTAATTTTAAACAAAGTTTTGAGACATTACAATCAGTCTGTAATTAATTAGTAGCTGGCAAATTCGTAATTTAATAATTCCAATTTATTTTGTTAGATAACGTGGGTGGATAGCAACGCCGGAGTTTTGACTCAAGGTGTCACTTACACCGTGGAGCCCCTGTCTGACGGACAAAGGTTTACTGCGAGGTAAGTGAATTTTAATCAAACTAATTATTATGACGGATTGTTTAAGATGAAATCGTCATCTCCTTTTTAAAATCGCATTATCTCTCAATGGAGCAAAGCTTATCTATATTATTTGGAATTAATGTTTTGCTGACAATGTGTTATATCGTTTTTTTTTATTGCTTAGATCGGTGAACGAGCTCACAGCCCACCTGATGCTAAGTGGTTACTGGAGCCCATAGACATCCACTACGTAAATGCGCCACCCACCTAGAGATATAAGTTCTAAGGTCTCTAGTATAGTTACAAAGGCTGCCCCATCCTTCAAACCGAAACGCATTACTGCTTCACAGCAGAAATAGGCAGGGTGGTGGTGGTGGTACCCTGCTGCGCTGACTCACAAGAGGTCCTACTACCAGTAAAATAGCTATATTTTATCCAGTAGCTGGAATGTCTACCACGATATTATCTATACCCTTGAAAAAAATATGGAAATGAGCACTAGACTATTACTGGTGGTAGAACGTTTTGAGAGTCTGCACGGGTAGGTACCACCACCCCATGTATTTCTGCCGTGAAGGGTGGGGCAGCAGTTATACCGTAAAAGCTGAGACCTTAGAACTCATGTCTCAAGATAAGCGGCGGCATTAACGTTGTTAATGTCTATGGGCTCCGGTGACCACTTAAAACCTACTGGACTGTGAACTTGTCCACCCATTTAAGCAGTGAAAACATTAATAAGCTTTGCGGCTTTGATATTTATAGATACATCAGCCACAAAAACAGATTCTCGACGTGACTCAAAATGTCCATTTCAGACCAATTGACCTGTATGTAATATTAGCTTTATTTGTAGCAAGTTTCGAAGTAAAAAGAAATCGAGTATAAATTCCCCTTTATATTCAACTAGTTCTTGAAGGCTGTTTAAACTCTCGTAAAAGATCTAGGTAAAAAATTTATTAACAAGCGTAATAAACTTCAGAATTATGTGATTGATGGAAACTAAAGTCTTGAACCTGTTAAAGTTCTAAATGAAATTACTGGAGAATTAACTTCGTTCAAGATTTCGAAGATAGTGTCTGAAAATTAAAATTCCTTGGAAATTTCTGTAATGATTTTCTTTTTGAATAATAAAAGTTATGACTCGCAGTTTTTGATAGTGGCTGAAAACGAAAATTCCTTAGAAACTTAGGTAGTGATTTTCTTTTGGAATAATAAAAGTTATGACTTGAAGTTTTGAATCCAGAAAACCTTACACGACTTTGTCTGATTAATTAGAAATCGTTTGGAACCTCTGGGTCTGCGGAGGGGGGACTTCGGTTCCCTCTGTATTTTGTACCATATGTTCCATGGGGAGTGCTCTGAGGAATTGTTCGAGATGATACCATCATCTCGTTTTTACCATCGCACCGCCCGCCACCGGAGTAGAGTTTATCCATACTACCTGGAGCCACTGGGGTCATCTACAGTGCGTTTCCAGGGATCTTTTTTGCCACCTAGCATCCGGCTATGGAATGAGCTACCCCACGGTGTTTCCCGAGCGCTATGACATGTCCTTCTTCAAGCAAGGCTTGTGGAGAGTATTAAGCGGTAGGCAGCGGCTTGGCTCTGCCCCTGACATAGCTGAAGTCCATGGGCGACGGCGACGGTAACCACTCACCATCAGGTGGGCCGTATGCTCGTCTGCCTACAAGGCGAATAAAAAAAACCGGGTTATTTAGTTACTTGTATTACTTCTACACCATCCACATGTAGTTGTGGTATCCAAATTGACCATATTTTCTTATTAAATATTCCTTTGATTTGGTTTCCATTGTTCGGCACTATTTGGATACGCTTTGACTTTGTGGTAGTCTAGAATAACATCACCTAATTTCTACGCGGATATCATACAACGCGACTAAGAGATTCACTGCAGAACTGGCAGTGGCGTTATCTGAGTTTTAAACTCGCGCACTGAGATTATCTATGGCATTTACGCATGTTATTGTTAGAAGTACTGCGTAGTATTAAGTAAGTGAGTAAGTAAGCTGACATGGGAATTGAGGCTTAGACCTCATGAGGTAAAGTGGATGGTGGAATTCAGATTGTGATGCTTATGTACTCATCAATCCATTTAGTAGGGAATCAATTTGGCAGTAACAGGTATACAACCAAACGTTTGAAGTGTCGTGGCCTAAAGGATAAGACGTCCAGTGCATTCGTGTTGAGCGATGCAACGATGTTCGAATCTCAGGCGGGTACCAATTTTTCTAATGAAAAACGTACTTAACAAATTGTTCACGATTGACTTCCACCGTGAAGGAATAACATCGTGTAATAAAAATCAAACCCGCAAAATTATAATTTGCGTAATTACTGATGGTAGGACCTCTTGTGAGTCCGCACGGGTAGGTACCACCGCCCTGCGTATTTCTGCCGTGAAGCAGTAATGCGTTTCGGTTTGAAGGGTGGGGCAGTCGTTGTAACTATACTGAGACCTTAGAACTTATATCTCAAGGCAGGTGGGCGCATTTACGTTGTAGATGTCTATGGGCTCCAGTAACCACTTAACACCAGGTGGGCTGTGAGCTCGTCCATCCATCTAAGCAATAAAAAAATAAAAAAAACACTAGGTGGGCTGTGAGCTCGCCCACCCATCAAAGCAATAAAGAAAACTGTAGAGCCCTGTTGAATTCACCAAGGAAAAAACGTTTGGAAAAGAAGAAAACCTGATATTAGGTCATTATTGCGAATACCGAGAAGAAAAGCTTACTTCGTAGACTTAAAATATTAATATTAATATTTGTCTGAGAAAATTAGATAAGCTCCTTATCGCTTAATACCATTATCGATTTCATTGTATATATCCTCTAAATCTGATGAAAACGAAAGCATAATTTTCACGTTAGGTATAACCTAGTTTTGTTATAATGACTACAGCTAAGACTTTCCACAGGTCAATTATAAATATGACGCCCAAGAAGGAACATCACAACCAAACTTTCATTTGTCAAGCTCAGAACACAGCGGACCGGGCGTACAGGGCGGCCAGTATACAAATTGAGGTGAGTACTTTTACTTACAAATAGGAATTTTCTGGTGCCTTTTCTCCTCTAAAACTGTCTACGTATATTTTATGTCCATAACTTTTTATAAGTCTATATATGTATATAAAAATGAATTGCTGTTCGTTAGTCTCGCTAAAATTCGAGAACGGCTGGACCGATTTGACTAATTTTGGTCTTGAATTATTCGTGGAAGTCCAGAGAAGGTTTAAAAGGTAGATAAATATGAAAATACTCGGAATTAAATAAAAATAACTTTGTTTTTCCTCTGAAATGTCCTTGATGTGTCTCCCGTCCGACGGATTCTTTTTGTTTGTTTTAAGTTTATTTTATACAAAAGTTTAGGTCTTTTATTTATCGATTGAGGCACTACGAAGTTTGCCGGGTCAGCTAGTAATATATATAAATCACGTGTCACGTTGTTTGTCCGCGATGGACTCCCAAACTACTTAACCGATTTTAAATTAAATTTGCACACCGTATGCAGTTTGATCCAACTTGAAAGATGGGGTGGTTTTTATTTCGATTAATGGTCACAATATTTATTAATTAACAATAAAATGATTTCTTATGTTGATTTTTGTTATTAATTGTAAGTTTCATAAGTCTAAAACAGATGGCGCCTTAAATCAGTTTTTACAGACAATTGTAATACTGTCTAACATTAATATCCCATAGATGGCGCTGTGTTAAAAATACCAACGTTTCACATAAGCTACAATTTCATGCCATGAACACCAAGTGTTGCTGAGGCTAAAGTATAAGTGAAATTTATTTCGTAGTAAATGCAATACAGTGAAATCCAATTGTTCTTACTTTGTTAATTTTTGGTATTAGCATAGCCGGCCACGTGTTATTTAGAAACAAAAACCTTAGCCACAGCAACGCGTGGCCGGGTCTGCTAGTGCATATATATAGATAAAGGCGCCTAACATTCAATTATTCAGATTTGGGTACTGAAATTCCTAAATTATCGATTTTTTTATTATTGCTTATGCTATGGGTGGACGAGCTCACAGCCCACCTGGTGTTAAGTGGTTACTGGAGCCCATAGACATTTACAACGTAAATGCGGCACCCACCTTGAGATATAAGTTCTAAGGTCTCAGTATTGTTACCTTTTATAAGTCTGTAAGTAAAGTTAATACGTATTGAAATTTGTGAACTATTTATAACAATGATTTATCAATGTGAAGCTTTAATGAAATATAAACTAGTTGCACAAACAAAGTTACACAAACAAGAGCTGAATGTTATTGATTCGGTGGATTACTTACTTATCAATATTTCAATTAAATTAAATTTGTATTTGAAGCCAAGACAGACTTACTAAGCTCTAGAAATACCTTAATATTCAGCGAGTGAAGGCAGCTTTTGATCTTGGATCAAAAGAATGTACTGGATCATTGTTGTTAGAAATTATAAATTCTATTATTTTTAAGGAGAACAATATATGAATATAATAAATGTTTGCTGTAGCTAATAATTATTATAATGTAGACTATTTCGAGGAAGTTAATCGAATAAAGCAATAAATAGGAGGTTTTTTTGGGAAGGTTTATGTCTAGACAACCTTAATTTTTTTATTCCAAGTTAGGCCGTTTTATTCCTATGAAAAAGTAATCACGCTTGTTTTTTTTTTTTTATGTTAAGATTGAAGGATTACTTGTGGCCCGGAGGCCTTTCCAGTTTCACCGGACAGGTGGGCGAGCAAAGGCTCAGCTAGGAGCAAAGGCTCAGCCAGGAGCAAAGGCTCAGCCAGGCTCACGCTTGTCAGTGGGATACTCACTAAATAATTGGACTTTTGACGTATATCATGTTAGTTTCATCAAGAAATTTATTCGAAAATGACGTACATTGAATAAACACTTTAATAAAACTCATATTTTAGAGATACGCATTCACAGGCGTGATTTGAGGAGCCGTCCTTTTGTTGTAAGCGAATGTTGATAAAAATGTACATGCATACATACATAATATGTATGGAACACGTGAATATTAACATCATTATTAAATATAGGTCGTTCTACAGCTAACACGAGCGCTACATTCAAAATTGTTTTTGTTTGTTTAGGAGGTAAACAACAAAGGGAAGGTATTCCACCGAACTGGCGTCATACTCGATCCTGTGGACCGAATGGTAAACAGTCGACGTCACCCTAAACACGTCGTTACGGATCCACCCGATCCATTAACGGTGCTTTTGGGTACCTCAAGCACCGGTCACCGTCCTCGCCGAACCCATCGCTTGCGACGAAGGGCTCGACGAGTAAATTAACCCATAGACACAGCCCACTGAGTTTCTCGCCGGATTTTCTCAGTGGGTCGCGTTCCCGTTCCGGTGGTAGATTCTACGAAGCACTACTCTTGCTAGAGCCAGTGTTCGATACACTTCCGGTTTGAGCCCTGTGAGCTCAATAGCACGTTAGGGTGAAGCTGATATAGCCTCTCAAAGCTATCAGCAAAAGTAGGAAAAAAAAGAGCTGGCGTAATTGCTCGATAAATTGACGGTCCGAATGTTATTGTTTGGAGCTTGCACATATGCAAGCTTATCTTGAAAATGTCCTTAAAATACCTGAAAGAATTCCGTTTAGGCATCTGTAAAATATGTTGTGATCTATGATGGCTTCCGCCGAATTTGTTTTTGTTGCTCGTTTTAATCATTAGCTTGTATCAGATAATAAAAAATATATTTAAACAAAAAAAAAATAATAAAAAAAAAAAAAAAAAATTAATTTCTATTTTTAAGTTGGATTTTCTATAAAAGCGTATTTTTTTAGTTTTTTTTAATCTATTATTCATTTATTGTACTCACTTTGAGTCTCATATAACATGGTTTTGCATAACATAAGACTTTTTAGGAACGTACCTACTGTTTTATAGGAGGGTTGCTTGTATTTGTAGAATGTATTGCGGATAGAATCTAGTTAACTTATGTCATGCAAAAAGAGATCGGTTTGTCCAACTAGGGATAGATTTTTGCCAAACGAGTAATTTAAAAGATTTCGCTCCATCCAAAACATCCTAGATAAAGAAATTGGCATCTCATCGAAACAAAACCGTTAATAAAACGGATTATCTAAAAAACAAAGTCATGGCTACATTATCAAACAATCTACGACTTGATAAAACAAAACTCAAACAAAACACGAACAATGGGGGAGACTCGAGATTTCTTTACCTAATTACCGATCCACAAACCCGCTAAATCTATTGCGTACTACCCTTATTATTTATTCGAATCTCGTTTCTTGGGAAGAACCCTACTCTCCACGTGGCGTGGCACTAAAGTTTCATATAAAGGAAAGAGTAACATTATTTATTGACTTAGCTATCGCTGAAAATTTTGAAAATGGATTTCCAGCCATTGTTAATAAAAGAGACTGAAAAAAAGTTATTTTTGTTTATTAGTTAGGTAGGACAGGACAACGCGTAGGAAAACTAGTGTTAAGTGGTTACTAAAGTCAATTGACTGATCGACAACGTAAATGTCACCATTCACCTTAAAACATGAATTTCTCGCCGGATCCTTTTTTTATTGCTTAAATGGGTCGACGAGCTCACAGCCCACCTGGTTTTAAGTGGTTACTGGAGCCTATAGACATCTACAACGTAAATGCGCCACCCACTTTGAGATTTAAGTACTAAGGTCTCAAGTATAGTTACAACGGCTGCCCCACCCTTCAAACCGAAACGCATTACTGCTTCACGGCAGAAATAGGCAGGGTGGTGGTACCTAACCGCGCGGACTCACAAGACGTCCTATCACTAGTAAATCTTCTCAGCGTGTCGCGATTCCGATCCGGTAGTAGATTCATTCGCGAAGCAGCTGCTCTTGAGCTGTTAAGTCTCCTTTGGAGGCGCTCGGGCAGCTGTTAGCAAATCCCACCCCTCCTGGCAGAGCCTTTGCTCGCCCACCTGTTCTGTTGAAACTGGAAAAGCACAGTACCTAATCCTTCAATCATAAAAAAAGCATGAGTTCTGTGTCTCAGTTATACAGTACAACGGCTGCCCCACCTATCAAACCGACACACGCTATTGCTTTGCGACAGAAATAAGCGGAGCGGTAGTACCTGCCAATGTGGGCTCACAAGATCACCAGATTTTTTTAATTATTCATAGAAACTCTCTATATCTGATATCATTAATTCAAAGAAAACTTCAGGTTGTAACTAGAGCATAGTTATTAGAACAGGTCGTATCTAGACCACTTAAACTAGTTTCACGTACGACACTTATACACAAAACGCAAATATCATGATTTACCTAAACGTTTTCCGGTACAAAACTGGCTGACCTACTATTTCCCGTGTGAGCCCGTAATGTAAGCCAAATATAAATATTCGCTGTCGGGTCCACAAGTACATGGTTAATATAAATATTCGAATATTTGGAGAGGAGAGAGGTATGATATAACGCGATCCTGGAACGAGGTACATACCTGTAGATACCTGTACAGCAATTAGTAGAAGACTAATTAGTAGAAGTCATTAGTAGAAGTTAGACTAATTAGTAGAAGAACAATTAGTAGAAGACTAATAACCATTGGGTAAGATTAAAATTAGCTATCTTGGATCTTCGACTACTCAATTGCGATCAAGCTACGCTGATCAAAAAGCCTGCGATACTTTAAAAAGGTATTTGCTCTCCAGATATTTTGGTTTGCCAATATTCTCAGACGAGCTCACTGCTCTGTTGCGCTTTCGTAACTAAAGCACATAGACACGGACGCCACTCATTTTCAGGTATTAAGTGGAGGTCGACGTTTCATTATAAAATAGTTTCATGGAAGTAAATTTGCGATGGTAAAATTAGTACTTTAAATAGTACCGTAAAAGCTGCCACCTTAGAACTCATATCTCGAGGTAAGTGGCGGCATTTACCTTGTAGGTGCCTATGGGCTCCGGTAACCATTTAACGCCAGGTGGGCCGTGAGCTCGTCCACCCATCTAAGCAATAAAAAAAGCATATTATTATTTAGTTTATAGTGGCACACAAAATATCTTTGAGAGCCGAAATGTCCGGTGGATCATTCGCCCAGACTCTCAAGATCCTCTGATCTCATCAGTACACAAGTTGGGAATTAAGGTAAAAATTAGGTTAGCAAATACGTAAAGATACTACTCTCTACAAATGACATGTCTAATAATGTATTGAGCTTTAGAAGGATTCCTGTACGTACTAATTATAATTAACATACTGCTGTCATTTAGGATTGCATAAATTCGTGCCAGCCTTGGTCAAAATGGGATATAGCAGATTCTCAGTAATAAAAATGATAATTCAAACAAACTTTAAAGTCCTCTTTAAAGACACTTCCAACATAAGATAAGACACCATATCAGTGATGGACCAACCACTGCCAACAATTGGTCCAAAAATCCAATAAAAACATAAATAAATACTCAACGTTCGATCTTCCGTTATAAAAATTATTGTCCTACAAAGAGTCTCGGTTAAAGGAAATTACTATTCCGTCAACGAACTCAGAGCTTCTAGATGCGGCATTAATATTAATATACTCGCCCCGTATTTTGTTATGGCGCGAACGTTTATTGTTTAGTGTTATTGTTTGTCCAGAGAAAATGAGAATATCTGGAATCGTAGAAAATTATCGGAGCCGAGAATAGCTATGACGTGCTTTTTCACGTAGGTACTTGGGATACTAAATTCTTGGTAGATAATTGTTTGTTTACTAAATGATTTCGCTCTATGCTATGTGTCAGTTGACACATATGTTTTTGAAACCGCGGAGACCGACGTCGTTGGTCGTCGACTATCGCCTCGACGACCCGTCGGTCGGGGTGGCGCCGCGTGTCTGGTTGTAGTGTTGACCGCGGCAACCCCCCTACTCTGACCGGGTTCTGACCCCGGACGGAGATCGGACGTCGGGTGTAAGAGTGCAGGGGAGTCGTTTAGTGGGTGGGCCCAAAATCCTTGGGCCCGCGATCTGCTCTCAACACCTGCAGATCGTTGAGTCTCACATACCCCGCGCGCCCCTCATGCGCGGGGACCTCGTAGGGGGTTCGGGCCCCGGCCCGGAAAAAAAAAAAAATTTTTTTGAAAGCACTTAAATAAAATTAGATTTCGCATATCGCCTCGCCGAATTTTCTCATAGGATTGATGTTTCGGTAGTAGATTCATTTTTGGAGCAGATGTCCTTGAGCTATTAGATTTCCATCGTAGCAGATTCAGGTAGTCGCAATCTTTCCTCTTAGCGACAGAAACCTCGAGTTCGCCCACCTGCTCTAGCGAAACTAGAAAGCCCTCCGAGCCACAAAAAACCATATCTAGTGACTATACATCTGCACCGTTATGACGAGAGCAGTTTGTTTATCATGTATTTTTTTTTCTTTCGGTCATAAAATAAAAACCCTTTTTACGACCAACCCAATTACTTTTTATGATCAGATGGCCAACGATATCGCCATAGTATTGGGACACTTGCTATTCGTGAACTTAATAAGTGACCATATTTCTGTGGTCGTATGGATCGGTGAATGTTCGTTTTGGATTCGTGGCTTGTCTATTATTGTATGCTTTAACCTTGAATCTATACAATGTATGCTTTGACAAACCCTCAAAATATACCGTATGCTCTTATGAAACTCTTTATGTTAATAAGATGTCGTTTTTATACGTATTTAAATTCTTCATTTGTTTTTTATTGCTTAGATGGGTGGACGAGCTCACAGCCCACCTGGTGCTAAGTGGTTACTGGAGCCCATAGACATCTACAACGTAAATGCGCCACCCACCTTGATATATAAGTTCTAAGATCTCAGTATAGTTACAACGGCTGCCCTACCCTTCAGACCGAAACGCATTACTGCTTCACGGCAGAAATAGGCGTGGTGGTGGTACCTACCCGCGCGAACTCACAAGAGGTCCTACCAGCAGCAAAATTTTATTTCGTTTATTAATGTTCTAAAATTATATTGTAATGGCAATGCAACTTCTTCAAACGAGGCTTGTGGAGAGTATTAAGCGGTAGGCAGCGGCTTGGCTCTGGCATTGCTGAAGTCCATGGGCAACGGTAACCACTCACCATCAGGTGGGCCGTATGCTCGTCTGCCTACAAGGGCAATAAAATAATAATAATAATAATACGGTTTGCGTTTCTTGAATAGAGGAATATCGGTTCGAGATTAGTACTAAAAATATTTCAATTATGTACGCTTATGAAAGGAATATCCCACATCTTATTCTTGATTATGATAAGCGTAAAACCACCAGTATATCACCATTGGCTCTTGCTATCCAAAATACGCAAAACACGAGTTTACGAGCGACCCCATAAAATTTCCCCAAACACTTGAGACCATTAAAAACGTACATACCGATGTAAAAGCATAAATAAATAAAATGAAACTATCCCATTCATTATTCCGTTGGTATACTGCTCACCATTTCCTGTTTTTATTTATTGCGTTTTTTTCGTTTCCCCCCCTGAGGCAGTTATGTGTTATTTTTATGGCTAGACTTGTACGATCGTTTTTTTTTTATATAAGTTATGGTGCTCGTTTGAATATAAGTCATCTTGGTGTTTATTTGGTGTTTAGCCATAGAATTGAACCAAAATAATTTAACAATCTTCTATCTATATATATAAAAATGAATTGCTGTTCGTTAGTCTCGCTAAAACTCGGGAACGGCTGGACTGATTTGGCTAATTTTGGTCTTGAATTATTTGTGGAAGTCCAGAGAAGGTTTAAAAGGTAGATAAATATGAAAATCCTCGGAATTAAATAAAAATTACAATTTTGTTCATCCTTTGATGTGTCCCCCGTCGGACGGATTATTTTTGTTTGTTTTTAAATTTATTTTATACAAACGTTTAGATCCTTTATTTATCGATTGAGGCACTACGAAGTCTGCCGGTTCAGCTAGTAACTTAGTAAAATCATGTCATGTTTTATCCAATTACCTTATCTGTAATTCACGGCACCTATGCATTACTTTGTTAATTAAGTGAAACTGGGTTCATTTCAATTTTATAATGTCGAGAATTATTCGCATTTTGGGTTTCTGCTTATAATTGAGATGTAATTTATGATTTCCTTAGTGTATCTATTTGTAAAAATGTCCTGAGTCACTGCCCACTGGTATAACTAATTTGATAGGTGTGGACCTGCCATTCATTATAGACAAATTTAAGATGTAGATGTTAATGGATAGAGATGTACATACTTACGTTAGGGATACATTAATCTGGATTTATCAATATATCTCAATATCACAACATATTATCTATACTAATATATAAATCTACAATGGTTTTAACTACTGAACCATGCATCCGACTGACTTGAAACTTGGTATCCACGTACAAAATACATGTCTTAATGGATAAGCTAATATTTATATGAGTGTTGGACTCCCTACGCCAGTTGCGGGGGCGTTAATGATGATAATATTTGTGGGGGTGAGAAATAATAATGTTAATTTTAAATGCCCAGCGAAACGGACGGGTATAGCTAGTTATCTATAAAAAGTCGAAAGCCACCAGGTGAGAATAAAAGTTTGTAATACTCATGGTACTTTAAAACGTTGCTGGGACAATAGGGAGACTCAACGATATAAATAGATTGAAAATTCAGCGATTGTTTGTAAAACATTGAATTAATTCAATTGTTAATTGAATTTCGGAGTTGGTTCAATTAAAATTTGTACACGAAATTATCGGGTTTTGTTGTTCTCAGGTGAAATACGCTCCTAAAGTGAAGATTTACATAAAATCAAGAGTCAATGGGAGAATTCCCGAAGGGGATGATGTAACAATAGGTAAGTTAATATTGCTTAATACACATTAAATAATTATAAATAAGAATAGAATAATTATAAAGTTAATAGACTCGAGTCAATGCCGTAGCAACCATGTTTTATCTTTTTGTCTACGCTTGAACTGGTGGTAGGACCTCTTGTGAGTCCGCACGGGTAGGTACCACCACCCCGCCTATTTCCGCCGTGAAGCAGTAATGCGTTTCGGTTCGAAGGGTGGGGTAGCCGTTGTAACTATACTGAGACATTAGAACTTATATCTTGAGGTGGGTGGTGCATTTACGTTTAGATGTCTATGGGCTCCAGTAACCACTTAACACCAGGTGGGCTGTGAGCTCGTCCATCCATCTAAGCAATAAAAAAAAAACAAGTCCGAATCTGGATCGATCAGTAAGGTAATGGAATGCTAAGAATTTTACTGTCTATTTCAATTACTAGACTGACGTGGCTGCAATATCGGAATTAAGGTGTTAGAGATAGCTACGAGTGTTTATTTTTTTTATCTCGTACGCTGAAAGCAATAAATTGAATATCCAAATTACTCAAAGTAAAAATCTCCAAGCTTTACATCTAAATATATCTAAGCTTATTTCGACAGGCTGCAAAGCAGACGCCAATCCAACGAATCTAACTTACAAATGGTATATAAATGAGGAATCTATAAATGGAAACACTACTGAATTGGTGAGTGCTTTTGAAGTATCCGAATCGAAATAGATTCACGGTTTTAGAATATTATTCAGCTGGTTCTGACTGTGAAATTGTGCATAGAAATTTATAAATTGAAATAAATTTAGTTTGTACAACTTTGCAAACTACTTTAAGGTTTGGCTTCGCGTGCACTTTACATTTTTCCAATATCCTGAAGATCGTGCGGTTAACAGTTCCACCGTTTCAGAAGACAGTCGTCGTAATCAAACTCCAAATTTAACTTCCCAAACTATTTTAACATAGTAACGTAACGTTTAACTCAGTCGTGCAAGCTTTGAGATGTGACACTGAGAAATATATTAAGGTAAATGAAATGAAATCTGTGTCCAGCAGTGAACTTACGTGGGCTTGATGATGATGATGATGATAATGAAATACAGACTAAATTTATGAAATTTAATACTATTAGGCATCTAATCTATACATCATAATGTGTGAAGTCGAAAGCTATTAAAATATTATTGTTAGAATTATAGTGTAGAGTACTAGTTGTAGATGATAGTGTAGCGTTATCATAGATGAGAAGAAATTCCGCAAATACCTGAATTCCGTAACGTCATTTATAAGATAATCTCGCATAAATATTCAAATTTCGAACAACATTGGGATCGTCGTTTTACCAAGCGAACACCTGCTCGGAGAAAAATCTTATTTCTGCCATTCCCTATAAGCTGGTGACGCGTGACACGTTTGATATTGACAGTTGATATGTCATCTTGACCATTTCTGTCGCACCCGTCATGCGTTCCAGTGAACTTAGTGGATAAGTGATTATATTAAGTGGAAACTTCGAACTCATATCTCGTGTTAGGCATTCAGGGTCTAGAAGTTCCAATAACTAATGAACAATCGACCGCGAGCTTGCACAAACTATATCATCATCATCATCATCTCAGGCGGAATGGTCGCAGGTGGGCCTAAGCCTGGTTCAGTGGCTTTTGTTCCCCAACTTAAAAGGCATTCATTCTTGGTGTCCTGTTCGACGCCCTCCCGCCATCTTTTCAAACAGCATACCGTCTTTAACAACTTCCTAATGAACACCAAATTAGCGAAACAGTAAATACTGCATTAAACCGAGATACTTATTGCAGAAAATCTACAACATATCAAGAAAGTACCACGACGCAATAGTGAAATGCGTTGTTTACAACGACGTCGGAAAGACTGAGGAAGAGGAGACCTTGGAGATTACTTGTAAGTGTATTTGTCTAACTCGAGTCACTCGACTTACGGAGAGCTTAGTCAAGTTACTACAAACAGTGTTACTTAACGGACTCTTACCACGATTTTCGTTGTTGGAAGCGCCCTAATTATAGGTAGACCCGAAAACTGGTAGTAGTGTGTTAGAAACAGATAAATCTGTGTACCCTCTTTTGAAGTCGTCGTGGCCTAAAAGATAAGACGTCCGGTGCATTTGTATGTAGCGATGCACCGGTGTTCGAATACCGTAGGCGAGTACCAATTTTTGTAATGAAATACGTACTCAACATATGTTCACGATTGGCTTCCACTGTGAAGGAATAACATCGTGTAATAAAAATCAAACCCGCAAAATTATAATTTGCGTAATCACTGGTGGTAGGACCTCTTGGGAGTCCGCATGGGTAGGTTCCACCACCCCGCCTATTTCCGCCGTGAAGCAGTAATGCGTTTCGGTTCGAAGGGTGGGGTAGCCGTTGTAACTATACTGAGATCTTAGAACTTATATCTCGAGGTGGGTGGCCCATTTACGTTGTAGATATCTATGGGCACCAGTAACCACTTAACACCAGGTGGACTGTGAGCTCGTCCATCCATCTAAGCAATAAAAAAAAAATAAAAAAAATAACTCGTTTTTAGGTGTTACCATTAGAACTCGATGATTCGTCCCTACCATAAATTAATACTTACAGTATCGGCAGCTTTTCCCGAACACTTTAAGAACGCAAACCTAATACTGGTTTCTAATCATTTGATAATGAGAAGCCATTAATTACTGCTTTTGATATTTATTTAGTAGATTGTTTCAATCATTCACATTGGTATATCATAATCAGATGGTTGAAGTGAAAATAGTTTGATGAATGGGCCTGCCATGGTACCTACTATGCACTCATGTCTGAAGGTGGGTGTCTATAATACTATTAATGTCTATTGGCTCCAGTAGCCATTTGACATCAGGTGGTCCCTATATCTTCAACATTTAAGCAATAATAAAAAAAAAACTATTTAAAATATTTAAAAAACATAAGTTTTTTTCAGGGCAAATTAATATAACTTCGATTTTTCACAGATGCGCCATCCTTTCGCCATCTTCCCAAGGACGTCGAAGCCGAAGTTGGCACTAGCGTAACCTTGAGTTGCGATGTGGATAGCTACCCGAATCCAGAGATACGATGGCTCCATCATGAAGAAGACCAGACTATTGTAAGTTTGCACTAATTTGGGACCTCCGCTAATACAATTCTTAAGGCGAGAGCTTGTGACACATTCTTCATATATAACTATTTATCACAGTGATCAGGGATCAGCATTTAGTTTCCATCCAACCATTGAAGTGATTTTACTATTAATTACTAGACTAATTAAAATATCTCTGCACCACCCTATGGTCGACTGGAAGATAATGCCCATGGCATGAAGTCCGCCTGTGTACAAGTTTTGTTTTGTGCATAAAGTATAAATAAATAAATAAATAAAGTACTAAGCTAAGTTATTGAAGCTTGAAAACAAGGGACGCGCTCTTGTTTATCATAAAATCTCTAAACATATTATTCTAACATGGCTTACAGGTCATCTGAAGGTGTCGTCAACTCCAAAATTGTAGCTTTCAATTTGGAGCCGACTTTAAGTTTAATTTATAGGGGTTATCGATCCAACGTGACCTGTATTTAAATTCAATTCGGGGCGAAGTAGAATGAGCTATTGAAAGCTCGTAATTAGACGCTTATCGGAGCTTTTAGACACCCCTTTTGTCCTGTAATGGTGTTAAAAAGGCTTACTTGGAATACGGTGTTTAGGGGATGGTAGAATTTTTCGAATTTTATTACTGTTGATACTGTTTACCATTTTGTGTGGTAAATACGCAATTTAATACAAACGAGACATGGCGGTGGACTGACTGTGTGGTCCAGTAGTTATCGGCCCTGACTGCTGCGCCAAGGGTCGTGGGTTCGATTCCCACATCTGGCAAACATTCGTGTGATGAACAGGTTTTTTAGCTCTTTGTCTGGTTTCTTATTAACTATATATATGAGTATATATTTAAACATATATAGTATGTTTATAAGTCTCTGGTACCTATAACACAGGAAATCTTAAATTGGGGCCAGATGACCGTCTGTATTTTTTTTTTATTGCCCTTGTAGGCGGATGAGCATACGGCCCACCCGATGGTGCGTGGTTACCGTGGTTACTTCAGCAATGCCAGGGACAGAACCAAGCCCCTGCCTACCATTAAGTACTCTCCACAAGCCTCGTTTGAAGAAGGACATGTCATAGCGCTCGATAATAATAATTTGAGTCCATTTATAATAGTTATTATAAAAACAAGTACACGTTATTTATAATAAATTATTTTCTTAATAGCGCGTGGGACGCACCCCTAATTTAACTCTCACAGTGGATACCCACACATCAGGGAGGTATCTTTGTAAAGCCAGCGTGGATGGATTCCCTGAAATAGAAGCAGAGGCGTCGGTATTCATTAAAGGTAACTATTTCTGTTTCAATATATGTAGGGCGACCACACATCCTACGCGTTTATTGTGATTATTAATAACGACGGATATATGTATTATTGTTATTAATTTTTATTTATTTTCTATTGCTTAGATGGATGGACGAGCTCACAGCCCACCTGGTGTTCAGTGGTTACTGGCGCCCATAGACATCTACAACGTAAATGCCGCCGCCCACCTTGAGATATGAGTTCTAAGGTCTCATTATAGCTACCTCGCCACTAGGTTAGATGATAACGCATGTCACCACGAAAAGCAAAAGATGCAGTGGAAATATCACTAGTTTTTTTTTTAAACGTTTTACACGCCTTTATTTTTATTCTATAGCGCACTATTTAATAACCATTCACTAATGTAGTTACGATATAATTATAAGTAAAAATCTAAATTTTTCGACTAAAATTCATGCAGTTAAACTAACGCCCATTATATTTTATTTTATATACATTCTAAGCGGCAGAAATAGACAAAATAATGGTATCTAAACAAGTGAACATAATTACTCTATGCATCAATAGCTAACCTTTTGTCATGATCATAATATCCAGTGTTCGCGAATCTTAAAAGTAAAAATTATAAATTTTCTCAAATTATATGACTTAGATTTTTATTACAATAAGCTTATTGTTCATAGTTCGTGAGCATGGGTGGTTTTGATTTAAATGAAACTAGAATTTGCCTCTAGATCTAAGACTTACCATATATACATAATGCAAAGATCAATCAAGATCAATGAAGTCGTCGTGGCCTAAAGGATAAGACGTCCGGTGCATTCGTATGTAGCGATGCACCGGTGTTCGAATCCCGCAGGCGGGTACCAATTTTTCTAATGAAATACGTACTCAACAAATTTTAATGTTCACGATTGACTTCCACGGTGAAGGAATAACATCGTGTAATAAAAATCAAACCCGCAAAATTATAATTTGCGTTATCACTGGTGGTAGGACCTCTTGGGAGTCCGCACGGGTAGGTACCACCACCCCGCCTATTTCCGCCGTGAAGCAGTAATGCGTTTCGGTTCGAAGGGCGGGGCAGCCGTTGCAACTATACTGAGACCTTAGAACTTATATCTCGAGGTGGGTGGCGCATTTACGTTGTAGATGTCTATGGGCTCCAGTAACAACTTAACACCAGGTGGGCTGTGAGCTCGTCCACCCATCTAAGCAATAAAAAAAAAAGCCTAACGGTGAAAATGGAAATGAAACTTTTTAGAAAACGATTTTCTATCGTTTTTTTCTTTTCTTTTATTCCGTATCTAAATAGTCAGTTACTTAAACACAAACGGCGGAATCATGTGCGACGAATTTCAAAGAATTTTTCTACTCCTTAATTTTCTACTAAACACCCACTCGTTTGAAGATATACAAAGTAGCTTTTTAAAATAATGTATCATTACCTACCTAGAAATTTCCCATTCTATGAAACGTTTAATTTGCGTCATTTGAAAAACTGCTGTTTCACACGAGATCGTAAACAGCTATCGGTTGAAGCTTTTAATAAAATGACAATTACGAAAACATAATTCAAGGAATTTTATATTCATCACGACCAAAAAAATAAATTTTTTTTTTTGTTTTTTTAGTCAAAGCTGACTTTGTGTTATCTACAAAGCATAATATTTTGATTATTATTCATATCGTATTTTCAATTGGTTTAACAAATTTAACGAATTTATTTTAACTTAAATGTCATCCAAATATATTTTTTCTAATCATGTCATCACCATCAGCTGTTTCAAAAAAAGGTACCTACCATCCTCAAAATCCTCCTTCTGTTCATCCTCCTGCTGTCTTTCTTTTGTTTATTATTATTATTATTTTATTATTATTAGCATTGTTAAATCTCTGTTGATATATTAATGTAATGCATGCTGTGATTGCCTCTAATTAGAGTTGCAGTTATCAATTGCTCTATACATGTCAATGTTATTTTATGTCTTACTGTAAACCCTGTTGGTAATTCTTAAATAAATAAATAAAAGAACCTACGAACCCCTTTTGCATGTTGTTTTTTTCTCTAATTACCGTGAATCATTTTATTTTCATTTCTTAGAAAGCTTACAATTAGGTTTACAAGTGCGTAATAAAATACAAAAGAAAAACGAAACACTGAGACCGGGAATATGTCATTTTGACATCGATCCGTCCCTTAGCTAATAATTGGCTTTTAAAGTATAGCTTACTCCACAAAAGTTGCTTCGTACTGTTCTTAAGCCGATATAATAGACGATGTAATAATAAGACATAAAATATAGCTCAAAACAATTACGGCTCAAGGCTTTTGAAATTACGATTCAATAAGAGTCTGTGATGACTGACGAACAAATAATTCTAGCACACTTGAATCTGATAGAGTTACATATAGTAGGCTGTAAAGTTAAAAGGAAATATGTTTTATGTATGTGTAATGTAAATATGTTTTCTTATTTAAAAAAAAAAAAGAAAATATTTGATAAAATCCAAAAAAAAAAAACCCCGCTGAGTTTGTTTCGCCGGTTCTTCTCAGGACTGTGGCTTTTTTTGGAACCGGTGGTAGAGTTCAAATTTTCTTTTACATTTTGACATTCAACAAGTGTGTTTTTGATGACATCCAAGTTGAAATAAATGATTTTGAATTTGAATTTGAATTTGAAAGCTTAAAGCTAATATCCTATTGGATTGATATTTTAAATAACATCTAGAGGTGTTTTATATTATGTTTATTATGGCACACGACCTTGCGATAAGCTTGATGGAAAATTGCCTCATAGTTCTATTAGTTCTATTAGAAAAGTCAAAGCCATATCAAAGTTTTGTGTCAGTAGTGCAACCGCTCCACTGATGTGTTGTGAAGAAAATATCCACTCGTAATAGAAAGTCGTACGAAGTAAAATATACTTAAATCGAACGTTTGTCACAGGTCCTCCGAAGATAATATCGAATCAGACACAATTCGGTACCCAGGGGGATACAGTGAATATTGAGTGTGCAGCCTTCGCCGTGCCGAGGATAGACAGTATTATCTGGACTTTTAACGGAAGAGAAATAGATTCGTTGCACGATCAGGTAAGACACATGTAATGGACGGATGTAGCTGAAATACTTCTTTATTAACATACTAGCGGACCGCCCCGGCTTGCTTGGGATGTAGCACACGCGATGTAAAGAATTTTAGGTAATTTTTTTACACATTGGGTTACATTATTGGAGTTTCAGTAAGGATCCCTAATTTTTTTTTAAATATAATAAATATAGCCTATGTAACCCGGGGATAGCGTAGCTTTCCAACAGTGAAAGAATTTTTTAAATCGGTTCAGTAGTTTTGGAGCCTGTTCAATACAAACAAACAAAGAAATCTTCCCTCTTTATAATATTAGTATAAATAAAAAGAATATACCTAAGTATACATTCAACTATCAAAGAATGGCTAGAACAAGTAATTAAATGTAAGTCAATGATGGACATGTTTTATTAACAACGCGTTTCGGCCAATGATGTTGGGCCAATTTCGAAAAGAACATTCCAGAACTTGTATCATAGTATTGAAATGTTTCCCACAAGAAAGATATGCAAATAACCCTCATCCACGCCAATACCTGCTACACTTCGCAGCTCTGCATCTTATAATGGAATTACATTTTGTATTTTGTTTAGGACTACGCATTCCTCGAAGATCTACAATCAGGAGGCATAGTTAACTCTACGCTAATAATTCGAGAGAGCCAATACAAGCACTTCGGCGTGTACAAATGTAATGTGTCTAATGACTATGGCAATGACTATTTGGAGATTACCGTGACTGCTAAAGGTAAGTAATAATATGATGATAATCTGTTAAAACTCGAAGGATTTTATTGTATACTAGCGGCCCGCTCCGGCTCCGCTCGGGTCTCTAAAAAATTTGAACGATATTTGACGTTGTTTATTTTTTTAAATAGAAACTAAAATAGACATATGCTGTCGCGACACTTTTTGTAAATAATAATGTGTTCTACAAAATCGTAGTACATTATTTTATTCTACCATCAATAGTTTTTGCAGAGCACGCGATGTAATGAATATTTTAGGTAATTTTTTTACAGCTTGGGTTACATTATTGGAGTTTTAGTAAGGATCCCTATTTTTTTTTCAAAAAAGATTATAGCCTATGTCACTCGGGTATAGTGTAGCTTCCAAATAGTGAAAGAATTTTTCAAATCCGTTCAGTAGTTTCGGAGCCTATTCAATACAAACAAACAAACAAATCTTTCCTCTTTATAATATTAGTATAGATATAGACTAGCGACTCGCCCTCGCTTCGCTTCCGGAACTGTAATTTATTATTGATCTCTTGACTAACAAAATTTGCCTAAGTTACTCCTTATATCATTAACTACCTATCAGTGAAAGTCCCGTCAAAAACGGTCCAACCGTTCCAAAGATTAGCCGGAACACACAGACAGACAAAATATAAAAAAAAATGTTTTTTTGTTTGTTTATGTACTGTGTATACATTCTTACAAGTTTAGTAAAAAGTGGTTATTTTATTATTACAAACAGACACTCCAATTTTATTTATTTAATATAGATTAAGTTGATGGCCGTTTAAGAATATATTGAAATTTAGGTTCTAGCGAACACGAAGACGTCCATTGTTGAGTTAATCCTTTATTATCCTGTCTGCGTTGTCATAGTTACAAGATCTGTAGACTTTTTTTTTTTATTGCCTTTGTAGGCAGACGAGCATACGGCCCACCTGATGGTAAGTGGTCACCGTCGCTCATGGACGTCAGCAATGCCAGGGGCAGAGCCAAGCCGCTGCCTACCATAAAACTGAAGCTACTCTACATATCAAGGCTAATGTAATAAAAGTCTAACCGATTCTCAACCTTATTTTGTCACAGCAATGTTTCACGATTTCAAAATTTTATTGCATTCAAAAAAATTAAGTTTAAAAGCTGTTTACTTACATCTACCTCTAATTAAACAGTTTACGAAAATAATTATAAATGTTAAATAAATAAATGAAGTACTCCAAAATAAATGGTACATTTATTAAGGGATTAATTACAAATTAAGAATTTTTTTTTTATTGTTTAGATGGATGGACGAGCTCACAGCCCACCTGGTGTTAAGTGGTTACTAGAGCCCATAGACATTTACAACGTAAATGCGCCACCCACCTTGAGATATAAGTTCTAAGATCTCAGTATAGTTACAACGGCTACCCCACCCTTCAAACCGAAACGCATTACTGCTTCACGGCAGAAATAGGCAGGGCGGTGGTACCTACCCGTGCGGACTCACAAGAAGTCCTACCACCAGTGATTACGCAAATTATAATTTTGATTCGAACACCGGTGCATCGCTACGTACGAATACACCGGACGTCTTATCCTTTAGGCTACAACGGATATGCTACAGCACGGTAAGATAATTCAGAATCAGTCGTCTCAAGTGACAATGACCTATTCTTAACTCATTTATTAAACCGAATTTTTTGTTGCCTAAATTCATTCATTATCCTGCCCTTTTCCCAGTCACCTGGGGTCGGCGCAACATGTTTTCTCCTTCCATACTCTTCTATCATATACCATTTCTTCGCTCACTCCCCTCCTACCCATATCGTCTTTCACACAATCCATCCATTTCTTCTTAGGTCTACCTCTTCCTCTAAATCCTTCCACATTCATAGTTAACACTCTCTTAACAACCTCATTTTCATTTCGTCTCATCACATGTCCATACCATCCCAAACGTGCACTCCTCAGCTTCTTGTTGCCTAAATTCATTAACTAAAAATTCTAATGATGATCTAACGCCATTAAGTCATGATGGGGCCCGTCATTAGTCTTCCGAGAAAAGCTTTATGGCTTATTTTACGTTGAACCATTTACGACTTTTCTTTTTGAGGATCGTAAAATTTTCAGGAGTACTTTCCGATTGATGAGCTTTCGGTCCGACTTTGATCGTACGTTAGTTTCATTAGGTTTAAAATTAAGTGTTGAAGTTAATAATTTGTTCAGTCTTCAACTTTTTACCTTTGACTGAGTTATCATTACCTACTTAATTCCCGTCTTTTAAAAATCAAACCCGCAAAAAATATAATTTGCGTAATTACTGGTGGTAGGACCTCTTGTGAGTCCGCACGGGTAGGTATCACCACCCTGCCTATTTCTGTCGTGAAGCAGTAATGCGTTTCGGTTTGAAGGGTGGGGCAGCCGTTGTAACTATACTGAGACTTTAGAACTCATGTCTCAAGGTGGGTGGCGCATTTACGTTGTGGATGTCTATGAGCTCCAGTAACCACTTAACACCAGGTGGGCTGTGAGCTCGTCAAGCCATCTTAGCAATAAGAAAAAAAAAAAAAAAATATAGGTATTTTATTTCGAGAACTTATGGGCTATATTAATGCAGGCACTCGTCTAAAGCCTTAAGATGGAAGGCTCAATCGTAAAGTACATATAACAGTTATCAGACTTCTCAAACCGGAAGGTGTAAATAAACAGTATTATAGAACCTCCCTTGTGGGCTCACGATTAACCCAATTACTACACTATATAGAGCTGTGATGTAATAATCCTTAATAATACTAGTTGCTAGTTACTAAAACATCGCTGTGCCTATCAAACATTTGGCTAAACTACTGATCTTTGATGTTGAAACCCAAAGAGAAATACGTAGCGCTAAAAAAACTTGTAACATAAAATGAGAAAACACACACGTCCCGGAGAAAAACCTCTTTTATTTAGTAACAAACAAAAAAAAAACGCGATAAATCAAACAACGATATTTCTATTCGCACAGCCATAAAATAAATTAAACATACAATAAACCGTCGTAAGGTTTCATTGAACAGAAAGAAAAAAAAAAAGATTTTTTCCAATAAAGAATTCCACTGGATATATTTCAAGGAATTCTGAGCTTTTTCCTTTAGTTTCCAAACCTATTGTTCGATTTTAGTTCGAAGCAGCAGCCCAAATACGATCTCACGTCTTAGCTCAGATATTTTATTGTAGGCCTCTGAGAAATGCTACTCTCTCGGAGATTTATTTGAAAGGACCGATTCCGAATCAAAATTAATGTAACTCTGTAGAAATTTCGTAATAATATTCTTCTTCTCCTCCTATTCGTACACTCTTGACAGAGTGGTCGTGGTCATGCATCAGTCGGATACAACCTGCTCATTACTCTCGTGGGAAATTAGTGCAGTAGTTTCCGGTTGCCTTCTGCACCAGCATTTTAGGGGGTATTTGATCTCCCAGGTTTCTGACGCCTCTTCCGTATAGGTTGTCCTGACGGGTGTGTATGGTTATACCGCCATATAATAATATAAGCATTTAATTAATCTCTTTACGAATAAATATCCGTGGACTACTTGAAACTAAATTTAGATTATATAAAATTATTGTTGATGGAAAATCAACTACAGAGAGAGAGTATTCTTTATTGTACACCAAAAAAAAAAAAGTAATGCAAAACATTAAATCCAAAATAGTACAATTGGCGGTCTTATCGCTAAAAGCGATCTCTGTCAGACAAGCATCAGGTGGACAAAAAACATTTGGAAATGAATTACTCGCGGTTTACCAATCCATATATATACACATACATACATACATACATGCGTTAAAAACACATGTAATAAAATTCTTTTGTATCAGTGCCTTCGGAAAATTAATCGATTAGTTGGCATGTGAATCTAAATCGATTGATCTATTTATTTATTTATTTTGAATTTGTTTTTATTCATTATCTTATTTTAATTTCTGGACTTGAAATCGGGCCATTAATCCCAAACCAATTACTGTCGTAACACAGAAAAAAACATGGACGTCCCGCAAGATACCTACTATTTATTAAAGCCCATCCATTTACAAAGTTAACGCAATTACTTAATTCAACGAAGAATATTCGTACAGAATTAGGGACGCGGGCCGACCATTACGACAACGGCCAGACATTATCGTAAATGTATCGCCATTTTAACTTTACGGTCGTCACGTTAGTATCTTCTGTCAGTCGGATTTCGGTATTCTAGTTTTAAGCGACACCAGCATTTGACTATGAATAAAACTCAATTTTGATTTGATGTTATTAGAGCGATTTAAAAAAAGGGTGCGTGTACTTATGTACGCGCGTAAGAAGTTATACTTTATTTTTATTAAATTTATTTCTTTTTTCTTTAAATATTAAATAATTAATAATAAATATTTAACGTTAATAAATTAATAATATTTAGTATGAATTATATTAAATAATAATTTTGTCATTTGTATTACTAAAAAAATAATGCTAATAACACTTTTTTTTACGAGTGTACATGCGCGATAGTTCACCAGCGGCTATATTCAGACTCGCCAAGTTACGTCGGTCGTATTGTAATGAGCGATTTAGTGGGCAACTTCATTCTGTTAATTTTGTGTCACGGTGCGCGCGCATCGTAAAATTTCACTCTCATCAATTTTTCACAACGCGCCTAAAGAAGTATAACTTCAAAAAGAAAATTCTCTCAATTGGATCGTTTTAAAAATTTAATATTTTATTTAACGGCCCATACTTTATTTTAGTCAGTTCGCGATATATCAGTTCCAGAAATTTATCCAATTATATTCTACACGTAACTTTGCAATTTGGTGAAAATCTGTTCGCCTTTAATTTGGTTTTGTGCTTTCCGTACTCGCGTAAGAAGATCGTAGGGTTAAATTACATTCACCTAGAAGTACCGACATTAATTTGCGTGTGTCAAGGCCATAATACAATCTAGACTAATTTATCTCTGAAACATAGAAACCTTACCTTAACGCCTCACCTACCCACCCAATAAATTTAGGGCACTTAAGCAAAAACTTAACTGAAATACAATTTTCAGAGGCCCTTCCGCTGCTGGTGATAATTTTCAGCGTAACCACTTGCACGATTGCCGTGGTTTGCCTAACTATGCTGATAATAATTTGCCAAAGAAAACAGAAAAGGGGAAAGCAGAGTCAAGTGGCCGAGAAGCCAGATGTGACTGTCACGGCCCAAGAACTTTTCAAGGATAACGACAGGAACTCAAACATTAGCGACCTGAAGCTTGAACTAAGACAGGCTAACGGTAGCTGTGAAATTGTGAGTAGGAAATCGATTTTAAATTTTAATTAATAAGTGTGCTTCATAAGAATCGCAAAAAATCAAATATGGCGTTAATAAACCTGTATATGTACAGTTATTCAGTTAATAACAGCCTTTACATATTTTAATTGCATTTCCTGGGCAAAATTATCATGAGCAGAAACAAAAACTGACGCGTCCTTCCTTTGCAGGATTATTCCAACACCGGCTCAGATAGTACCTTGTGTTCTAATGCCAAATTAGGCAGCGGCATTCCATTGGCCGGTTCTGTTCCTTTAGCATCTATGAACCAGAATAACTATCAGCCGTACAGATATAGTAACGATTACACAGATCCTGCTTACGCTGATTGTTACAAGGTAAGTACTAATTTATTTATGCCTTTAATAGCAATTATTTTTACAATATATTAATTTATTTATCGATTTTTTTTATCAACTATGATTTGACGGGAGCCAGGATTTTAACGTGTCAAATAATCATGGATGCGATTAGAGATTTCAAATTTGAATTAATAAGTCCCAGATTGGTGTACAAATAATTAAAACGACAAGTTTTTGTTGTAAAATTATAGCCCCGCCATTTTTCTATTTGCGTAAATATTCGTGGGACATATTGTGCGCCTGCGCACTCCAATCCTACCTATTTCTGCACCTAAGTAGTCATACGTCGAAACAGAAGATTTAAATTTAATAAAATTCATTGTTCCACCTGTCTGAAGGTGAAGGCACCATTTAGTTATTTATGATCTGGGATCTCTATAGTTTTCTCCCAACCTATATAGCAATAGTCTATCTACTTATCTTTGCGTTACTTATCGTTTTCGCCAAGACTTATGTTTGCAGTATTCCATATTTCAGTGTTCAATCCAAACAAGACCGTTTTACTGATCCCACAAAAAAAAAATTTATGCCTACATTTTAACAGTACACAATTAAACCAAGCGCTTAAATATTCGATTGATCGAATAAAAAGCAAATCCTCTGAGGAATTACAACGCCCTATCAAGTATCGTAAGCAATTTCGGCGTAAGCCCTATGATTAGCTACACGATATCAACGAGTGCTCGAAATATTTACAGTAACAACTAATGAACGGTTGCGAACCTTATCTGTATTATTCAATCGGACTGTAAAATACGTATTAGAACGATTACTTTTGTAGGTTTCGTTACGTGAATTTGTTTTTATTGCGCCAAAGATTGGTTGTTAAGTGGCTCGGCACTCACCTAAGACTAGGTCAGATGTAAGTCAGCAATTGTAGTAGGTATATCTCGAAATAATTTGAGCGAGTAAACCTATTATTCTTGGTTACTGGTTATTTTATAGGCGCATTTTTATCGATACATAAAATATCATCCTATTTGATGTTAAGTAAGTGCTTACCTTTTAGGTTATAACGCATGACAGATAACTTTCCGGCAGAAATGTGCAAAACGCTAGTACTAACTAGAATACTACCTAGTACACATTTTGAATTATAATTTCAGCAAAAGGAACTATAATTAGTATCAGTAGTATTTAGTATCAATCAACATTATTAGTGTCACATTGTTAACAACATGACAATACATACTATAAACTTCCGTCTTGTCTTGTAAATCAACAAAATTATCAAGTTCCTTATTAAAAATAACCGTGCATGTTGTTATTAGGTCAATGGCTTTAACAACGGCTATCAGACGTATGTTCATTATGGACATGATTACACGCCTGGTTCGTTGAGGGTGCAGTCGCCGACTTTGGCCAGCGATAAACTCACCCCTAACAGGTATGTGAAACACCTTTAATGTAACAGATATAAGAACCAAATTTATGAATCTATAATGCGATAATCTTTAAACATAGAACGAAGGTTTTGTGTCTTTCTTTAATCTCATAAAAGTCTACGACCTAAAACCACATTTATGACAAAACAATTTTAATTTCGAAACAACATTGAAGGTAAATAAGTAGGTACTCTACGCTGAGTTTATAATATCATCGAAATATACATGTTTTTGAATATAAATTAATTTTATTATTTTCAATTCGTTAATATTTGTTATAAAGATGTAAATTTTCCACAAAACTATTACATCAACCTTTTTAATATTCAGTTAATACGTGTATTTCACTTTAGGTCTATAAACGGAAGTTTACCTAGAAGTGTCGATACGCCATCGACGGTTCAATACAACGTAGGGAATGGATCCCAAAATAACTCGTTGCAGCGGTCAACAAAACGGCAAGACAGCAGCAGCGCATTGAATAACCTGGGCCTTCCTACAGCAGAGGGTAAATCTATTTTTGTCTCAAAGAGAGTATTTCAGAAGGCTTTTGTTCTGAGTCTTGAATAGAAATCCCGCTACCTTTACTTCATGGACACGTCTGGTGATACTTGAAAGTAATTTGATGTTTACGCATAAAAATTACTGATTTCATTATTAGTATTCCCCAAGGGTTCTAAATTGGATCATGATCACTGTCACCTCAAGGTTCTAAGTCTTGATGTTATTACCTTTTTTCTTTTGTGCTGTTATCAAATTGTTTTTCTTATAAAAGTGGAAAAAATGTATCGATGACAAAAAGCTAGTCCATAATTACAAAACAAAATCAAACCGGTTGATAAGGGTATTGGATTTTTCTCTACTCTATGTCACGTAGATGATAATGACAATTTTTCTTTTTCTTTAAAACAATTCGCAATGAAATCTTCAGTCACAGTTCTTAAGCCATTCTTCATAAATTGCTAAAATAATTGTATAATTATAAAAAAAATTAGGAATATTAGAAATTATAGGAAAAATTAGAAATAGGAAATAAATGTATTGGAAATTAATACATCTATAATTTATAAATCGATGGAAATGGACAAAAAAATTCCATACAACTAAATATAGAACCATTCCTTTTTTGGAGTCGGTTAAAAAAAATGAAGAACATACAGCTTTTATCTAATGAATCTAGAAACACAAAAATCACGATGCCTATATTCAACAACAGCCATGAAAAGCTCTGGATCCTCAACAAAAGAAGCACTAAAGCAGTAAATGTAAACTTTTTGTCATAAAAGACAGCTTTTATATTTTCCTCCATCCTAATACTTTAGAAGCTTTTAAGAGAAAAATCAACGGAAATGCTTTTGTAAAATACTCAACAGAATTCTGCTTCAATACAATTTACATTAGAAATTATCCGAAAGAAATTCTCGCCAGTGGCTCGTGGTTGAAATATTTTGATCTGTCTGAAAGAATTACTTGTAACATTTTCTTAAATTATGGCGTTTAATCTCTGCGGATGCACTGTAAAATAAGTTTTAGGATGTTACGTGAATTTAAGACATAATTAAAACTAGTTTTACTCTTTTGGCGAGTCTTAGATATCATTAAAATTAGTTTTACAGTTTAATTTTACATTTATTGGTTTCAAATAATTCATATACCCCAATATTTTTAAATATTGGCGAATAGCACCTTGATCAGCCGTAGAAACTTAATATAAAGCATTAAAACTTAAATATTACTTAGTACTAACATAAAAAAATTACGCGAAAATAAATTTAAAAAATTGTTCTAATTGTAAATAGGCATTTATATTTAGTAGTCTCCTGCTACAGTTCTACAGAAGCATTTAACAAAAAACAAAAAAACTAGCAATTAAATTGACATATTAAGCTTTATTTAGTACAGTTTCTCAATCTAATCATGAACTCGTGAAGATCGAAATCGGAAATACACAGCGATGTAGGATTTTAGTTACTACTTATTTACTGAAGTTAATTATTTTAGTAAGCCGCGTGCCTAATGGTGGGATACATGGTGTTGATATAAGATACGCAGCAACATATGGGAATCCACACTTACGTTCTGGAGGTGGATTGGGTTTCAATACTGTTAACACTGCCAAACCGGCGTCCACTCCAGCGCCACCACCTTATTCGTCTGTCAGAAATTCTGTAATATTACCTTCAGGTTAGTTTTCATTAAAATTACGTTAATAAGATTTTTCTTTAGCAACACATTCAATTACGATTCTGATATTTTCTGAAATTATTCTAACCAACATCATAGCTTCCTAGCCACCACGTTTATTAATTCTAAAGCAGTACTGCAAGCTTTTCAATGATTAATTCCTATAGAAATCAATTAGCTGTATCATTTTTTTTCTAGTGCGTTTCGAAATTAAGATATTTTCCCTTTGTTGATGGAAGTCTTCTTTGTGCCAAGTACACATTATCAAATTTATTCTTGTACCATATTTCACATTAATCTTAAAAACAGCTTTAGTGTACGATTTTTATTATTATTGTCAGGTAACTCCTCTCACTCTATAACATCGCCAACAAGTGTAGCCTCACCACAATGCGCTACTAGTCCTATAACAACGTCAACTATATCCACTGACAGCACCCAGCCGCTGGTAAGTTTAAAGTTCAAATTCGTATGTACTATCGATACTTTTTGTCAACGTTTATACATTCTCGTTTTCCTCTCGCAGGTCGACAGGGAGAAATATCTTTGAGAAAGATGCATAGTCGCATAGTCATAAAGACCTATATCCACATTCTCTATATGTCCCCAACCAAGCCCCTGCGGTTTTGTGGCTAATGCATTTTTTCCCAATAACTATTGCACTTGCCTAATCCGCTCCTAATTTAATATAAAGTTTTGATAAAATAAGCACAAAGTTGCATAGTCACAAAAACCTATTTCCACATTCTCTATTTGTCCCCAGTCAAGCTTCAGCGGTTTTGTGGCTAATGCATGTTTTCCCAATAACTATTGCACTTACCTAATCCGCTCTTAATTTATTATAAAGTTTTGATAAAATAAGCACAAAGTTGCATAGTCATAAAAACCTGTATCCACATTCTTTAGCTGTCCCCTACCAAGCTCTTTGCAAAACCCTCCAAGCAAGGTTTCGTGGTTAATGCATGTTTTCCCAACAGACCGGCGTGGCAACTTCGTCCGCGACCCCACAGTCTCCTAGCGCACATTACATACTCGCACCATCGAACAGGAGTATAACAACGGCCGCTGTTACTAAGAAAGGTAACGTCTAGTTTTTACTATCATTCCACTCGTGGATCGAGTGTATTTATAAATCTTGGAACGATCTTCGATGATATATTAAATTCGTGTATTTTGTTTGCTTCATTCATTAGCTATTTGAGTAAAACATTTATATTACAAATATTATTTAAACAGTTAAATTTTATAAATTAATTAAGCTTTTTCAAAGGCATGCCTCTTATTTTTAGTATTATTTTATAGTTTATATGGAACAGTGTCTATACGACTCAGATGCTAATGGCTGTTCATAATTGAGGGCAATATTTTTGTGCTTGCACTATATATTGTTGAATAGGATAGTATTTACTATATTAGTTGCTATTACTACTATTATAATAATATATATAACTATAGAGTATTAGATCGTGATGATAAAATTAATAAACATAAAACCAAAATTTACGATTTGAAATTTTTAGTTTGTACACTATGATGATTCTATTGTCAAATACTATTTATTATACTTCTTACAATCACAAATTTCGCCAAGACTACACTTTAGACAAATATTAATAAAGACAAACAATATTTATTCTATTCTCAATTTGACCACAGACTTTAAGCAGTTAGAAAAGTTTGACAATAAGCAAATAGTATGCATGCGTGTTGTGTTAAATACATGGTAGTGTGTGTAATGTTTTTATTTATTGATTTAAAGTAATTTTTATGCATAATTTTAAAAATAGTTAACATTCTGCACTCCTTCTCTTTATTCTCTATAAGTGTGTTAAATTTCATACTCCTCCGTCCGCGCAATTTTCGTAAAAAGAGGTACAAAGTTTTTGCTTCACCTATTAATATAAAGATGTATATTTGATAATGCTGACTTTAAAATTCGCAGGTAATGGCTTGCAATCACCCTTGGCAACGCACGTATAAGACTATCAAAAAAATACATTAACAAAGACTCTACGAATAGCTTGATTGTAAAATTGTATAAATGTAAAATTAAATATGTCAATTCTAATTCAATTGAATTGTTTGTAAATTTATTAACGTCGATTAATAAATAACTAAGTTTATTATTGGACAGAAGTCGTTCGAAAATAATCAAACGGCTTTCGAACGTTTGTATCTTGGGCGTGTTCTTGGGAAGTGTCTATTTGAATATTCAACTTCGGGCTCTCTAGTTTCACTTAACAATATTTTCCGAGTTCGTTGTACTCAATAATTGTGATGTGATGAACGCCGATGGTAAGCGTCGTTGCATTGATTCTGCTCGTTGAGATTTCTGTTGAGTTCGTTCTCTATCATATCCAGTTTCATGTTTTTGTGATGTTTGGTTACAATTCTCACAAGCAAAACATGCAGAAATCAGATTTTAAAAGTAAACATTGATAAAATGTACCCGAAAAAAGACGCACAGAATCAAACCCGAATCACGTGATCAGGATCGCTAACCATTCGACCTAAAGTCAATATAAATTAAGTTGATTTTCCTTCACTCGGAGTGTACAATAATTAATTAATAATTACCAAGGCCTTTTATTTGTTGTTACATTGATCTGAATTTAAAAACGGAAATCAAGAATTGTAAATATGAACTTCATTCAGAACAAGTTTTTTATTTTATACATTAAATGTATATGTATTAAAAATAAATATTTCAATAAGACTATATTTTTTTTGTTAATCTGATTAAAGTATTTTATGTTAGAATTCAAACATATTTTATATATTATGTACATATTATGGAAAAATAGTATTGTTTTGTAGGCTCTCATAGACTGGTCTTTTAGTTGTAATAATAAGTTTAATGTAATTGTAAATTTTGTCAATTTCATCGAAACATTTGTAAAATAGAGTTTCCATTATTTTTTTCACTTAGTCTTTTGTGTAAAAATACTTAAATGTCGTTTAAAACAATTTAAGAAAATGTCAATTCTTTTCAATTTTTAAAATATATCATGTTGATGTTATACCTCTTGTAAAAATATTATTCAGTGCACGGTTCACATTTGTAATGAAGATTACGATTAAGAAAATAAGTTACAAATGTATAAAAGCTCTTAATCTTTTAGTCAATTGAAATCGTCTTGCACATTATTTGTTACTTTAATATTTCAATTGAGAAAGTTTAACTTTAAAACGGTTTTTAAGATTTTTTAGGTTTGCATGTATTAAATATATATTTTTTTTTTAATTTTTCGTGCCATTACATAGACTGAGTAAAATATATTTTTAAAAAGTATTACCATTTTTGTTCTTCCTTACTATTAAAGCAGTGCAATTAAAAATATTATCAAAAGATACATATCTAGAGTATTATTATTTGACTTAAGGTATTACTAGTAACGGTTTGGTATCGCTTTGGTTTTTTTGTATACTAGCGGCCCGCTCCGGCTCCGCTCGGGTCTTTAACAAAAATTTCAATGTGTTTTATTTTTTTAAATAAAAGAACACTTATTGCGACATAACTATAATAGTTAGACATATGCTGTCGCGACACTTTTTGTAAATAATAATGTGTTCTACAAAGTCGCAGTACATTATTTTATTCTATCATCAATAGTTTTCACAAGGCACGCGATGTAAAGAATATTTTAGGTATTTTTTTACACCTTGGGTTATTGGAGTTCTAGTAAGGATCCCTATTTTTTTTCAAAAAAGATTATAGCCTATGTCACTCGGAAATAGTGTAGCTTCCAAACAGTGAAATAATTTTTCAAATCGGTTCAGTACTTTCGGAGCCTATTCAACAAACAAACAAATCTTTCCTCTTTATAATATTAGTATACTTATAGATAGCTGTCGATTCCCAAAACCAGTCACTGTGACCTTGAAGCGTTAAACGCCTTTATCCAAACCCCGATTCAGCTTAAATTGTGCAGGCAATTGACTATATTGCTCAGAGTGGGTGACCAGCGTGAACGTGATAACCATTATGATTTCTATTACCTTTGGTATCGAATTTGACCAGGTGAGACCAAGATCTCGTTCACCAATCATGAAATACGGAGCCGGAGCTCAAGTTTTTTTATCATTACCTAATTCAATATAATAATAATAATATATTGAATAATAGTTTTCCATAAAAAATGATGGATTGCGTAATTGCCAACGGTATAGATGCACGGGTAGGTACCACTATCCTTATCATTCCTACCTCGAAGCAATCATAAGAATCACAAGTAGGCAACGGCTTAGTTCTGCCCCTGGAATTGCCGAAGTCTATGGGCAACGGTAACCACTCACCATCAAGTGGGCCGTATGCACATCTGCTTACAAAGTTAGTAAAAAAAATTGCTGGAAAAATATTCTTTACACAATTTAATTGTTATCCACATTACATTTTGATATACATACATAGACAAATTCTCTGGTATAGATCAGACATTGACATTCCTGCGCCTATCCAAAGTAATATACAGTCATAATATATAATAATATTTTTTTTTTGTTCTCATTAAAATAAAACCAACGTGAAATCAAACCTTAGAACGAATTTTGAACGTTTCCACGAAACTTAATACACTGATTACCTATTACTATTATTCAATTTAGTAGCAATTTAGAAACTGTTTATTTCAATGCTCAAACATTTTTTCTATAGAAAAAGCATATAGTTCTTTTTTATTATATTTTTTTCTCGGAATTTCGATCTAAGACTGACTAGACTAACCCATAAATAAACACGCATAATACTTTTACGTTTTCTCATTATATTACTTGTGTACAAATAAATACCCGAAAAGCAAAATGTATATTTGGGAAATAAAATATTTCCCATTATTAAGTTATCAAAAAAAAAAAATTAAAGATTTTTGTTTTTGTGTATGTATATTGTAAGTCAATTATGAAATTCGTAATTAATAAAAATAAAATATTTTGAAATTCATTTAGCGTAACAACGAAAATTAAGAAAAGTAAAAAAAAAAATTAAATTTTCAAAGATTTTTTTCTAAATATATTGTTTAAAAGCAAACTAGGCTTGATGCTATTGGTTACGCTCTCCTATCCTATTCTTCCTACACTCAGTGCTTAACTAAAAACGTAAAGATTATCGTTCAAAAACAAAATTTAAAACACATTTTTAACATAAATTATAATGACAGAAAGTAACTCATTTCTTTATTAGCAAAATATATAAGAGAGTACGCGAATTTTCTTAGCTAAAACAATATCACGGATTGACCCAGTGCGTAGTAATGGAGGTTTCTCGAAATTCCTCTTATGAATACGGTTAAAAACTATTTTAATGCTAGTAATACAATTATTTTTTCTGTGATACATAGTATAAAAACTTTTTGTAAATAAATGCTACTTTACATAAAATTAGTGATCTTTAAGGAACTTGTACTATTTAGATTTTAGTTCCGAAAATGGATATGCCTAGTTTTAAAAATTAATAACATTAAACACCTATAAAGAATTCTATAATTTTGTTTTTAGTTAAAATTAAATAAAACGTTTTTTATACTATATTATAATATTATATATGTCTTATTATTGTGACTTTAAATATAATTTTAAACTGACATATTTGTTACCTTCAAGCAATTTTGGATTCGCTGTTCCGTATCTTGCAAATCAACACGATGCTATTTACGCTAACAATGTCTCCTTTTTTCAACACCACTTACTTCACTATGAAATAGTGATTCTAATTTACATTTTAGGTATTTGTGAAGCTTAAAATTTTTGTTTCGTTGTAACAAAATAAATTAGCGTTTAGCGAGAAAACGATTGTTTAGGTTTTTGACTGTGAGTGAGAAAATAGCGTGTATGAGGTTAAAAGTTTTACGATTGATTATAAATATTATTATTATATATACTATAAATATAATTTTAATGTAACTTTAGTGAAATTGTACAAAATACTTTTCTAATTAAAACGAAACTTTGGCCTATTTACATGACTTTTATTTGTTTCCTTCAATAATAAATAAATAACTATATCTATTAATAACTGGGAACAAATCACGGACGGTCATTCAACCCGAATTAGGATTCCCTGTGTTATAGATACCAGAAACTTTAAATAAATGCTATGAGCTCCCCTCCACGGTGTTTCCCGAGCGCTATGACATGTCCTTCTTCAAACGAGGCTTGTGGAGAGTATTAAGCGGTAAGCAGCGGCTTGGCTCTGCCCCTGGCATTGCTGAAGTCCATGGGCGACGGTAACCAATCACCATCAGGTGGGCCGTATGCTCGTCTGCCTACAAGGGCAATAAATAAAAAGAGTGACATATATATTTATATACATTTAAATATATACATGTATAGAAAATAGACACCCAATAAACCTGTTCGTCACAAGAATATTGAAGTGGGGAATGTTTTTACTCGTGGTAGGACCTCTTGTGAGTCCGCACGGGTAGGTACCACCACCCCGCCTATTTCCGCCGTGAAGCAGTAATGCGTTTCGGTTCGAAGGGTGGGGCAGCCGATGTAACTATACTGAGATCTTAGAACTTATATCTCGAGGTGGGTGGCGCATTTACGTTGTAGATGTCTATGGGCTCCAGTAACCACTTAACACCAGGTGAGCTGTGAGCTCGTCCATCCATGTAAGCAAAAAAAAAAAAAAACAGTTGACTGGTTGATGTGTTTGAAACAAACCGTGTGGCGGAACAAAGTTCGCCGGGTCCGCTAGTAATATATACAACAAAAAAAAAACTACACTTCATGAAATGTAATAATAATAGAGATCAAACGATAGAATTAGTTTAAATTAATCCTACGGTTTGCGGAAACGAAAGGTAATTAATTGTTTGAGCCAGTGTCTTTTTTGTACAATTTTTTTTTTCTGTACCTACATATAAAATTGAGTTTACGATCTATTTCGTGATGTGCATACGTTACTGATAACTGATACTGATACTGATGCTGATGCTGATGCTGGTGCTGATGCTGATGCTAACGCTGACGCTGACACTGTCGCTGACGCTGACGCTGATACTGATACTGATGCTGATGCTGATGCTGATTTGTATTATCAACAGTTGTAATTTTAATTTTAAAAACAGAACAGAACTCTGACTTTTTTAACATGCTATTTTGTTTTTGTTTATTTTTAAACCATACAGATTCAGATGTTTACTTTGTGTTCTTACGCTTACACTTCCACTTACGTCAAAATTTCGAACTAAAATCTGGTATCGTAAACTCTAGACCAGCGAGACGTTTCAAACTACATTTGACTTTGGACAGGTTCTGTTACAAAAAATCAAATACGAAAATAACTAAACACGAATTCTCCTGCAGCGAAAAGCCTAATCGTCGAAGCTAGGCCCAAGAAAATCTGGGCAGCTGTTAAACTATATCCGAAATGAGCAAATATTTTTTAGAACTTTCGCTGCGGATGTTATAAAGGTTCGTGATTCATCCCCTATACGTACAGGGGTGTAAAATGTTTATCGCCTCCGCTGTGGTTGGGTCATAGAACAAGCGAGTTGTAAATATGGAAATAAGATCTATATTTTTGAAGTGAAACTTCTTTAGAATCGTTGTGATTTCAAACTCGATGAAACAAAATGAAACAAAACGAAAAAATAAGTGTGCCGTGATTGGCTTGCCGAAGCGGCTCCGAGCGGCGCCGACAAATCGCGAAGCGCTCCACA